TTGTGGAGGTGGTTGGACACTGGTGAGATGAAATGCATTTAAGCCATGAGTACTTATAGAAAGGTAAACAATGCTCAGGCTTACCTATTTGCACTCAGCATGAAGGGTGAACAATGTTGAGATTTTCAACACTAATTCACTCAACTCACTGTCTCTATGTCATTGTTGACAGAGGTTGGAGCGTTACCGAAAGCATTTCCTCACAACAAACTACAGACATACATCATGAACATCTGCCACCTACGCCTACACTTACACTCACTCGATACTGACACTGAAGATGATCAGATGGTCAAAATAATAAGAATGAGCAAGAAGGAAGTCACTCCAATTGACAACGAATCAACCAACCGACCAACAACCTATCGCCGAACGTGTATGCAGAAGAGGAGAGTGGTGATGGATTGATTGTATTGGATTGGATTGGATTGTACATAGACTGAGAAGACTGTTTGGTATGGGGGACATCACATACCAGACCAGGTGAGGGCAGGTGAGGCCAGGCCGTCGAGTGGAATGGGAATGTGAAATGACAAGTTGGGTATCTGAGTTCGGTGACATGGAGGAGATGGTGTGAGGAAGAGATGAGAGGTGGGTGGTGGTGCATCGAGGTTGAGAAGACTGTAGAGAAGAGAGTGAAATAGCTATGTGCTAGTAAATCTCTATGTTCCGCTAAGAACCTAAGGGACAAATAATGATGATAAATAATTTCAATAAAAGTAGTGAATCTGCTACAACTTCCACTCATTTCACTAACCTATTCAATTTCATTACCAGTGTTAAATGGATCTCCAACGGAAGTATAACTTTGTATTCAATTTTCAAACGAGCAAGTATGCATAAGACAGATAGATTTGGAAGCAGTTTACGAATATCTATACTGCATAGTTATCATCCTACTGACTCACTACTGTTTCGAACCGAAAACTTTCCAACATCTATGAATTGCATACTAAGGAGTAAATGCTTGTCTGGAAAATCTCACAATGCTCAAGACTGTTAATGACATGTACTCTGTCTACCTATTAATATGGAGAAGTGAATTTTATTGTCTTTGATTGTCTGTTTCATTATATTTCTGCCTTCCAACTCTATCTGAAACATATTCAGGGAATGACTTTCCAATTTGTATATTTGTTCAAGAAAACTAGCTGAAAAAAACATGAGTGAATATCTTGAGCAGCACTAAAATATTATCAGATAATGAGTCATACAAGGAAACTCTAATTGCTACAGGAATGATAGATTAAATTGTATCTATCAATGACTCAGTCGAAACAAAACCAGTAACAGAAATGAAGCGAATTCAGATATAAACTTCGGAAGGAAGCAATTAAAACTTGTCAAATAAGCATATAGAAAGTCAATTTTGTCTTGGAAACAAAGATAAAAAGGTTAAAACATTGAGAACATGTTAAAAAATATTCTATATAAAATTATAACAGTTGAATCAGTGACAAAATCTTCAGTGTACTGATCCACAGAAAACTACGCGGCACAAACACAATCATAGAAAGTGGATTCCACCAGAATTATATTGATCAACTAGTCAGAAATAAAGAGATCAACTGACAACCCTGAATAGCAGCTACTTCTCTAAGTATTGTTGATGAGTACACCAGCTACACTTCTCTGTGATTACATACTGCAGATAATCCTTAGACTGAAGTTAAAACTGCTGTGTATGCAGATTCGGGATATCTGATCATACGTCTTAATAATGGCTTTTCCGTTTCTCATGATTGAAACAAAGTAGGACAAATTTTTTTCTACTTATTGGTTTTCAAGAGCTTACTTGTAACGTAAGAGGAAACAGGGAAATATGACATAATAATAATAATACATTAATATTACCATAGCGGACATGCTCACACCACACCACTATTGCAGAAGGTGTGGAAGGAAGAGAAGGTACCTGGCGATTGGAAGAAGGGTTACCTTGTCAAACTGCCGAAGAAAGGAGACCTCGGTGTTTGCAAGAACTGGCGAGGAATCACTCTCCTGTCCACCCCAAGTAAAATATTAAGCCGCATCATCCTGGAGAGGCTTAAAGACGCGCTGGATTCAAACTACGACCGGAACAGGCAGGCTGGCTGGATTCAGGAAGTACAAATCATGTGCAGACCAAATTGCAACGCTACACTACGTATCATCATAGAACAGAGCACAGAATGGCAATCAGCTATCTACCTCAACTTCATCGACTTTGAGAAGGCCTTTGACAGCGTCGACCGAGAAGTAATTTGGAAGCTGCTTCACTACTACGGAGTACCGCAAACCTTTATCCGCCTCATTCAACAACTATATGAAGATGCCACATGCCAGCCAAGTAATTCACAATGGGAAGCTCAGTGATGCTTTTGAAGTTAAGTGAAGACAGGAGTGAAACAAGGTTGCCTACTATCCCCCATGATATTCCTTATTGTGGTGGACTGGATCATGCAGCAAACAGTAGGCAGCAAGAAGAGGGGGATACACTGGGCTGCGGAAAAGAACCTAGAAGACTTGGATTTCGCCGATGACTTGTGCCTGATGTCACATAAACTTGAAGATCTGCAGGCAAAAACTAACAAGTTGATAGAAGAGGCAGGGCAGCTAAGACGGGACTTCAGGTGAATATAGAGAAGACAGAGGTGATGAAGATACCGCACCAACAACTCCAACAACAACAACAAACTCCAATCACCATCACCATCAACGGGAGAAACTTAAAGGAAGTAACCTCCTTCACTTATCTAGGAAGCACTGTTTCAACTACAGGCGGCGGTGGCACAGACGAGGACGTCAAAGTCAGAATCGGAAAAGCAAGACAGGCGTTCATTAGCCTGAAACCAGTGTGGAGATCTTCTGCACTCCACTCAGCATGTGGAACAAGATACGGATTTTCAACACCAACGTCAAGTCAGTGCTCTTGTATGGTTGAGAGACTTGGCGCGCCACGAAAGGTATTTCCAATAAACTACAGACATTCATCAACAACTGCTTACGCTCGCTACTGAAGATCAGATGGCCAGACTAACAGGAATAAGCAACAAGGAACTCTGGGAACGAACCAACCAAGAACCTATCATGCAACAAATATGCAGGAAGGAGTGGAGATGGATTGGGCATGCACTGAGAAGGCCGACTGAGGACATGACGCGTCAGGCCCTCGAGTGGAACCCAGGTGGGAAGCGACGAGTTGGACGTCCGAAGTGAAGGTGACATGGAGGAGGTCGTGCGAGGAGGAAAGGAGAGCTTGTGGTCTGTCGTGGGACCAGGTTCAAAAGATCTCAGAGAACAGAGTGGAATGGAGACGTGCTACTGAAGCCCTATGTTCCACTAGGAACCCAAGGGACTAATAATAATAATAAATTACCATATTTCGTCCTTTTCAAATTCGTGAAGATAGCAAGAAGTAGAACGTCTGTGTACATAATATCTAACTGGTTGAAGTCTCCATCTTTTCAGGGGATTGTCATTCACTCATTCACTCACTCACTCATATTCCTTTCTTATATGAAAATTTGCACTGTAGGTGAAGAGTATAATTCCTGTAGACGTCTTACTAGGCATAATATTTGGAGGGGAAGTGAACTTATTTTTCTTCATACTGTATGCATATGGAATAAACTGCTGAGTTAAAATTACTGCTTGACAATGATTACTACATATTCATAGCCTAGTGCTAGTGCTTATGTCTTAAAGGTTTTGTATGAGTATCGATTATTTTACAAAGTTCTGATGTATTGTTCACGCAACAAATTGCCAACAAATGAACCTCTGGTAGATGTCAGGCTGTGATCAATCGGCCATACATCTGTTATTATTATTATTAGTCCTTTGGGTTCCTAATGTAACATAGGATTTCAGTAGCACGTCTCCACTCCACTCTCTTCTCTGAAATCTTTTCAACCTGGCTCCACGACAGCCTAAAAGCTCTCATTTCCTCCTCGCACGATCTCCTCCATGTCACCCTCGCCTCACGCCCAACTCATCGCTTCCTATCTGGTGTCCACTCGAGGGCTTCACCTGACGCGTGATGTCCCCAGTCGGCCTTCTCAGTGTATGCACAATCCAATCCATCTCCACTTCCTTACAGTGCATATTTGTTCAGCGATAGCTTCTTGCTTGGTTCGTTACCAACCAGACTTCCTTGTTGCTCACTTTTATCATTCTCGCCATCTGATATTCAGTAAGGAGCCAGCGTAGGCAGTTGTTGATGAATGTCTGTAGTTTGTTGGAAATACCTTTCGTAACGTGGCAACTCTCTCAACCATACAGAAGTACTGACTTGACGTTGGTGTTTAAAATGTGGATGTTGTTCCACATGCTGAGTGCAGTAGATCTCCACATTGGTTTCAGGCTAACGAACGCCTGTAGCCATACAACTAGTTTATACTAATGAACCGGTCTGTGAAGTGATTAGTTCAATGCTTGTTTTCTGACATTCAATTTGTGAAGACGACAAGACACTGTTCATAGCATAATAAAACATCATCTGATCTCCTGTAGAACTAAACCATATGCGCTAATATCTCCAACAAATATGATGAGCGAAATTGGTCTGGATCTGAGATACAATCCATCCTGCATGTGCAATACGGCAATGAAGTCATTTGTACAGGATAAGGACTGAAGAGGAAATGAAAATCTCTCACTAATAATATCAGGTCATCAATGCTTGGATATTCCAGATGACATCATCCATATGGCACTCCCTTTCTCCAATCCAGGTGAATTTACAGTTTATCAAGAAACCCTGGACAAACAGCTACGTTGATTAGAATGAACAGACAGTTCAGTGTCAAACATCCACATGATAGTCAGGACTAAACCTCGGTGGTTGAAGTACAGCATCAGATATGTAGTAATTAAGTGCTGTGATAATTAAGGCATACATTTCATTTTCAATCCTTATCCCATATCAATAATACCAGCTGTTAAATCACGTTTATTGCAGATAATCTCATTGAAGTCATTAATGAGCTAAGAAGTAAGTAATCTTTTGTGTAACTTACACTTTGAACAGCATCTGTTCTCTTATTCCAATTATCTGTCATTAAACTATCCATACTTCTGGTCCCTTTTATTGGTGGACACTTTATTGCTTTGTGATGGTATTGTTCCTGTTTCTGCATGGCAATCTCCATTGACTGTACACCACTTTCACCACGATTATTATTGTTATTAAAAGACTGTAATCTGAAATCTGTATCACATAATGAAATCTCACAATTATCATTTGAATTCAATGTTTTCATATGATGTTTCTTATGCATACTACGATAATGCATAAGACGATGTTTTCGTTTCATTGCTAGTGAATACCAACTTGAACTGGAACTGGGTAATTTTTCACTTTGAATTCTTGAATGCTTACTCCAATAATGGTTAGAAATATTTTCATCTATCTTATCGTGTAGTGAAAAAGTTTTTAAAGAATGTCGTTTCACTTTTTCATCGATTTTTTTAACCTCCTGTTCATTCAGTAGAATGCTTTGATTCAAAGCATTGATATCATCTGAGGATACAATAGGTGGTGCTGTTAACGGTAATTGTACTGTTGACAGGGGAGTAGACGATGAGCGCGCTTTTGTAATTGATAATGGCTTTAACATGCTTCAATAGTGAAAGTGTATGTGTGTGTGTGTGTTGATCAGCGTTCAAACCTTGAAAATATCCACCACGATTAGCTGTTGGAGAAGATATTAACCGATAACTCCAGGTATAATGTCATTTTCAACATTGTTCTGATTTTTGTAATCAAGCATCCAGTAAAAATTGTACCCTTTTGTTTTATTCAATACGTATCTTATTCATACATGCTTTAAAATTTAAGAGAACGATTCAATAACTAGGATTTGTTAGCGTTAGAATATGCTCAGTTTGATGTTTTTATAGCGATGATATATGTTTCGAAGGTGTTAATGACACTGACTCCATGTAATAATAAACGATGAGAGAAAAATTAATCTCATGAATAAATAGTTTGAGCATGCTGTCTATTCTGTAAGAATCATACTTATTGGGTGATCATTATTACTATTTGCAATAAGTATTATCACAATAGATGGATGACATGTCATATGATCAACTGTGCACAAATAAATGTGCCTAGAAATGAATTGTTCTTTTTTATACAGTGATTCAATAGGTCCAATGCTGATTTCATTTAACCTAGTCACTGAGTGAACATACTGTACTATTGGATCGTAATTATACCTTTCCATGGTATGTATAAAATCAAGGTGACAGTTATACATACAAGATAATCATAATTATTGAAGTGGTTTGTTTATGGAGAATCGATTCTTGGTTGTATTGTGTTCTCTGAACTGGGTTGTTTAGTCGTGAAACTTTCATCGTCTTCCTAAACAACATCATCACCAATAACCTCATTATGAAGTGACCTGTTTATATCTCTCTGTGAGTGATTTAGTAGCTTTCCCTAACCAACTCGTTTTTGATTGGTTATTTCCCCTTGATCACTGTGTCACTCACTGTATACATTTTGCGATTGACTGTTCCTCTGCTTCACCTCCATTCTCTCTGTCATATATTCTTTATGTATCGTAGGATGATGCGTTTATTGGATTTTGTTGATGGCTTTGTAGTTGATGATGTACGGGGTAGACATTTTCTGATAGAGTTTCGTGGGTAGCCGTTCTTCTTTTGCATAGACATCAAGTAGCAACAACCCAGTAACGCACAAAATTGGTTGTGTGAAGACTCTATTCAAATGAGTGAGAACACACTGCAGTACAACAATGTCATGGAGAAACGAAGAAAATTACTTGATGCCCATCCTAAAGAAGAATGGCTACCAAAGAAACTCTATCAGAAAATGAATATCCCCTACATCATCAACTACAAAGTCATCAACAGAAATCAATAAACACATCACCCCACCATACATAATGAATTTATCAGAAATCACAACAAAATCACTGACACCACTTGCAATTGGTGTGCATCATAAACCAACAAATTACCTACAAACACTGTTATCCAAACCAAAGTAACCAACAACCAAACAACACAAACAAAACATCTTTTACAACATCAACACAAACAACTCTAGTCAATACTACATTAGACGACAAAGTGATCACCCTCTTCACCTTCGTCACTTACATGAACACCAATCGACTATTAAACATCACAACATTTCATCAGTCATCTCAATCCACATAACACATAACACAAGTATGTATGGAGATGAATTGAATTTGGAGAATGTAGAAATTTTGGATGGAGTGATGAGAAGTGAGTAATATGAGAGAATTGTTGGGAGCTTGATATCCAGGTGAGTCAGTCAGTCAGCCAGCCAGCCAGCCATTGAGGCAGTCAGCAATGAAGAGATGTATAGACATAGACCGAATGTATCAACCAATGAGGAGAATGATAAATGACTGAGAGGTTGGAGATGAAGCAGAGGAACAGTCAACAGGAAAATCTATACACTCAACAACACAACACTTGTGTTATATTGCGAATAGACCAAATTAAGGACTTGTGGACTATTAAATTCCAACACATTGGTTGATTGGGAGTTTGCCTGTTGTGATACCACATTTCATTGATCTAATTCTCCCACAAAGTCACATGTGAACGCCGTTGATGGTTCCAAAACATGTATGAAATAACTGTTCCGTGCTCCCGATTACTAAATATTTCTCTAACCCATACCAACCAGAGATGAAGATACTTTTGGAGTCAACGAATTCCTGAAAATCACAAGTTGGTGAAATATGTTAGTCTACAAAAACACTTGCAAAACAACGCTGTACAGCAACTATAAGCGTTAATAATCCCTCAAAGTATAGATGTTTGAGATCCATTTCCTCACTTCTCCTGAATCTCAATATAAAGGTAGTTTCTTAGTCAAATCATGACCTGAATGTTTTGTTGATAAAGTCTCTGAATTAAGCACTGAGTGTAAGATGGTAAAGTTACCGAAGGATCATCAATTTCTTGATAGTTGTAGACACTTCTTACTCACAAGCACCCACGAAACATAGGCCAACCAAGACCTCCTGCCTGATTACTTCGCAATCATGGAGGGAGACAATTTATCTCTGACGAGAACAAGAAAATAAAGATAATTCAACAAGAACAAGACGAATGAATCTTGGTGCCGAATAATAGAAATCGGTTAACGTAGACCCCTTTCTGACCTAAATCTCCTGCTAGTCAACACCTATAAGGAAGATATATCAGCAACCTCGAGATAACTCATGACTGTCCGATGATTTGAACTGGTTTCACTGGGTGGTGACATGAAAGACATTACGACTAGTTGATAGCATGACGACTGACCTACTTTAGGATTGAAGTGTACGTAAAAACTGGTCACCAAAGGGTATCTGAAGTAGGCAGTATATTCATGGTCTTCATCAAAGTCTGTAGACCATGGAACTGAGAATATCAAGTCATTGCATTCTAAAGTAATTAGGAGTCTTTCAGTTGGGGTAACCAAAAGCGTCAAACCAGATGAGACCAACTTTTGTGATTCCTACCTCTGGATGAGCATGTGTTGCAGACATCTGAATCGATCCTAGGCATAACGGGTCACTCTATTAGCTAGCCAGAATCAGGGTACTTTGAGGTGTTTGACTGTTTCAGTTAACCTTTTTTAGGGTACATTACTGACAAACTCGATTTCAAACAAGTAGAATGGCTGTCTGGTATTTAGGTCGCAGCTTGACGAGCAGGTACCATTAATCGGCCTGCATCGTATACAACTATTCACACGAGTTGATAGTATATTTACCATAATTTAACATAAAGCGTTTTAGGTGTTGTTGTATTCTACTGCAAACAAACACATAGTCTTCAAAATTGCTGACTAATATCAAAGTGATGTAAGCGAAGAAAGAATACAAAAACACTTATCCATGGGAACAGTATGTGAGCAACTGAGATGGTGAGGAGGAATGGCTGATACGAAGAAAGCTGGTTAGCTAAACAAAACACTCTATGACTTTAACTGTCTACCATACTTAACGAAATCAATCTCATCCATTTCGAGACTATAAACTTAGTTGTCATTAATAGGTTTTAATAAACTCATTGGAAAGAAACTGAATGACTGAGAATATTCACGAAGCAGGCTATTTTGTCCTCCGCTTTCATTACTTGCCACAACTTATGTATTCATATAACAGATATATACCTTCCTCACCGATCAATAATGAGCTGCGGAATAATGCTGAAGTTACCGGTTTCTACTCGGTGAATAACCATTTTTTTCGGTATTTTTTCATGCTCACTATTTGTCTACTGATTTAGAAATAAGTAGTAAGAAAACATAAAAGGGTGAGCGAATTTATGCGAACTATGTCAATAAGTGTTCGCTTTCTAATTCAGTAAATAAGTGGCTGTGCGTGGATCTTCAGCATTTTTTCTCAAGAATAATCTACATCACACGATTTTAAGCTTTCCTGTCAAAGTGAAAGTTCATGATATTCTATTAACCAAAAATGCATAGGATTGAATGCATTTCATTTAACCTGCCGTTGGTTTTTCTTGCATTAGGTTCTACTGATTTCGATCACAGAAAAATTACTATATAGTACTTAAATATCAGAATAGTGTGACCAACTGAAAATATGATGGCACAGTTAAACTGATATAATATGAATAAATAAGTCAAAATCTGTCACCATGATGGATACAGATACGCAACACATGCCTCAGTCATCTAAGTCGACGAAGGTTTACAACCTCGTTAACTGACTACTTTTACATAAACTCTAAAAGTGCCTCGTATATTACTGACGCGATAGCAATACAACACAGCCTGTAGTATACAGGTAATGGTGATGGAACACTCGAAGCCTTCTAATATTTTCTGTCTTTGAAGCCCAAGTTGACAGCAATGTGGTGGGAGAGAACGAACTGCAGCGCAGTACACTCCGCCCTTAACAGATAATTATTTATCACAAGGACGTCATAAATGGGTGGTCAAAGACATATCTCAAACAATCTCAAATCTCTAACTCAAGGTTTTCAGAAGACTCTACATTTTGACAGCATCTTTGTGTAACAGGACTATGTCATTTTTACATTTTAAGTCGACTAAGTAGTCTCCCAAGACAAAGTCATCCCCATAAAGTCAGATGCGCAGAGGTCGACCGTCATAAGCATATCTGTAGAGAAGTTGGCAGCCAAATACACTGATATGATTAAGGGTACGATGATTTTGGTTATTCTCTCAAAGTTTTTGCTTTTGGCCCGCGTAAATGGCTTCTGTTAGGGATGTTGTATTTACTGCCTTGACAGGGCAGGGGGTGTTTCCACAAATTTGAGAGGCTGAAAGCCAACATTCTGCGTTAAAAGTGGATTAAGGTACAGATAAACCTGTTTTGGTCATCGGGAACCATGGGAATGCAGCACGTTGCTCAGCTGCTTTGTGGCTCAGACGTCCATTCAAACGCATGGGGAGTGGCTCCCTTTAGGACATCTGACTACTTCATTCTGTGAGTTTGGGCATTATTGCAGCCCACAATGAAGGACAGGAAACGCTCACTGAAGCTTTGTGAAATAAAGAAATTATTTTCTTAGCAAAATCCCACTTGGTCAGTCAAAGTTTCGTCTTTATATCGTCATTACGACTTTATGTGAACTATGCTGTCATTTGGTCAACTTATTCAAATTTACCCCCCCATATATATATTTGAACTAAACTCCTCTTGTATGACTGGAATTCTAGTCTACATACAACATATTCAGTAGCTAATCAGTTGGTTCCACAACGCTGTCATTCTGTCCGATATCTGATATAGCTATTCTAACATCTAACAACAATATTGAGAGTAGAGGGAACTTTAAATTTTGAACTCTCGCATCCAGACTCAGTTCTTTTTGTTCATTAAACCTTTTCGGTGACTAAAGAAGTCTTCTAAGTTTGCCTGATTACAGCTTTTTAGTTGTTGATTGTGTATCTAAAGGTGTTCCGCTGTAGACTGCAGATTGGTTTGTTTGGATGAGCGATGGAGCCACTGAAAGGATCAGTGAAAAATTTGAAATTCCTGCCTGCATAAATACCTGCGAGTAAGTACCGAAGCGCCATTCTAAAAGGAGTATGAAAG